GAGTGTGTGTGTGTGTGTTTTGGGGGGGGTCGTTGGGTTGGATGGCCGCAAGGTGTAGAAACGGGCAGCTGGTTGGCCTCTGGCTGTCGGATTGGGGCGCATCAGATCCAGTCAAAGACTGCCGCCGTCGGGCCGGGAGGTGAGGCCAGAGGAGAAGCAAAAACTCTTTCATGCTGACGGGTTGAGCGCAGCTCGGGATGACTACGCGTCCTGGGTGTTAGGACCAGGGGTGCCCAAAACTCACGAGCCCACCCCCCCCCCCCTCGCCTCCCGCGCAGCAACCACCGCGGTCTCCGCCACTACTGGGGTCTGCGCGTGAAGGGGCAGCACACCAAGACCACCGGCCGCCGCGGGAAGACGGTCGGCGTGGCCAAGAAGAAGTGAGGCGGCTGGCGGCAGCTGCCGCGCAGCTTCCTCCTCCGCTGGCCGCTCGGCACGTGCAGCGGACCTCGCCTGCCCCACTGGTTGCGGCGCCCGCGTGAGGGGCCGGGCTGTGGCTGGTGTGGCTGGCCCTTGCTTGGCGAGTGTAACCAGGCGTGTCGGCGTGGTTGTGCCAAAGCAGCTGAATGCTGGCAGCAGCAGCAGCAGCAGCAGCAGCAAAGTCAGGGGGCCGAAGCAACAGTAATGGTGCCGACCGCCATGACCTGCGGCTGCTCAGCTCCTACATCGCGCCGCCACTCGGCACCGCACAACGCGCCGCCCCGCGGCGTCGCCGGGGTCCTCAACACTCCGGGAAGGCGCGTGGCAACATCAACCGCTACGACTATCGGGCCGGTCCAAGCTTGCAGAGTGCTCTCAACCAACAACAGAGTTGGGGTTGGGCCAAGCCTACTGCATTTGGAAATCTTAGTTTGATACCCGCTGAGGCTGCTTGCAATCCTTCCAAACACCTGACGTCCTGCAGCCCCTGGCCGCAAATGCACGGCGGCTTTCCCGGGGCGGGGTGATGTGGCAGCAAAGCGCACCACCCCATTGACTGCCGGGCCTGGGAATCCTGAATGAGAAGATCTCCAATCCTGTTGACTTTGTCAACCACCACAAAGGGGGCTGATGTGTTACCATGGTGGATAAACAGCCCACTCGACGGCTGACAGCCCAGGACTTCCCTTCTGCTGCCATCAGCGCCAAAAACGCAATGTGCTGCCTCCCTCCAAACCACCTGCATACAAAAAACGTCTGCGCTATGCCACACCTGCACACCCCCTTGTTTACCCGAAAACACCGGCCGCCCCGCGAAGCGCCCGTCCTGCCCGCTGCTACAAATCGCTCGCAGGGAGGCCGACCCCGCCAAGCCACCTCCCCTGGACCCCGTGCCTGCCAGCCGCGCCGGGCCGCCCCGCCCTCACGCCGTCCCCGCGCCCGCGCCCGCGCCGCCCGCGGCCGCGGCCTTCCGGGCCTTTTTCTCCGCCGCCTTTGCCATCCTCCGCCTCTGCTTCTCCCGCTTGCGCTCCTTCTTGCCCATCTTCTGCAGCTGCTTCGCCGCCAGCTTGGCGGCGGCCTTCTTGCTCTTCTTGGCGAGAAGCTTCTTGTTGGCTATCGCGGCCAGTTCCTCTTTAGTCAGCTCTACCCTTGGGGCGGTGATCTGGGCGCCCTTCTCCTCGGCAGAGTGGGACTCGATCAGCTGCGGCGGCGGCGGTTTTGGGGGGTTTCGAGGGGTGAGGTTTCGGGTCAAAGGTGCGACGTGGGAGTATGTTGGAGAGACGGTTGGATAGAGGGTTGAAAGCACGTCCCCAGAGCGCCCCGTCGTCCCACCAACACCACACACACTCAAACACGCGGGCGTACGCACGCGCGCGTACGAACACGCATACGTGTACAAAAACGCGCTCACATGCACACACACTCACACACACACACACACACACACACACACACACACACACACCACACACACACACACACACACACACACACACACACACACACACACATGCACACACACACACACGCACACACAGCAGCCTCTTGGTAACCGCAGAGCGTGGGGTGCAGCGCTCTGCGGCCGTACCAGGATCCGCAACGGGGAGGCGGGCTGCTATCGGATCCCAAAGTTCGCGGCCCGTGCACATCAGCAACGGGTGTCGCGCAGCCCGCTCGGACGAGTCAGGGCTGGACCGCGCTGGGTAGAGCGCAACCGCTCAGCCAGGGGCCCCCCACAGTGCAGCCCCGCAGCACGGAAGACGGCAACCCGTCGACCTCGCATGCGTGGTGCGCCCCCGTCGGATGGTCACAGCCCCTTGCGGCGGCCGCCAGAAGTCGCAAGAGCACGGGTCGCCGCGGGTTCGGCGCCGCTGGGTGCACAAGCAGCAGCGCGCTGCAGCGCGTGTGCCCGGTGCACCTAAACAGCGGCGCCGCCGACCAGGTGGGTGCCTGCAGGGGCGATTGGGACGTGAGGCAGCAGAGCGCGAGCTGCATCGCATGTCCACTCACAGGTTGAAGGCGTAGAGGGCGTGCAGGAGCTCGAGGTGTTGTTCGCGTAGACTGTGTGAAGGACGGAAGGGTGGGTGGGACGGAAGACTTGAACAAATTAAAATATGATTAAATATATGTGAATGTTGCGTTTTATGTCGGCGAGACGGAAGGGAGAGGGCCGTTTTTGCCAGCTCAGCCGGTCAATCGCGAAATTCCTCCGGGTCAAGACTCTCGAAACGATGCCAACCGTCGTAAGCAAACGGTCAGTGTGATGTATATCGTCTGCTGCTGCCGTGAACCTGGGGTCTGGCCGGGGCCGAGCCCCGCGGTGCGCGCTACGCATCCCCACTCTGTGCCGTGTGGCGCTGCTGTCAGTGCGTGATATTTGCCTTGCCGCACACGACAGCCCCTGGTGCCTTCGGCTCCCCTGCAGCCACGATTGCAACCACGCCATTCCTCGCCGGCAGCAAGCATGGTAGTTCGTTAGGCTGCACAGCAATGACCTGTCCATTAAAGCCCCTGGTGACGACGAAGCCACGTCTCTTACTGCAAAGCCTGCACCCGCACCTGCACAAGCTAGCGCGCCCCCAGCAGTCCACTGTGTTGTGCTCCACGCCACAACTAGCCCGAGGACCTGCGGGGCAGGCTAGGGGCGAGGGCGCCCGTGGTCGGCTGTGTGAGTCCCCGCCGCTCCCATGAGGCTGGTCGGCTGCGTGCATGTCTTTTGCGCGTGTATGCAATCACCTGCATCCGCAACACCTTGGCTTGCAATGGCTGTCAACTTTTCAACCCCAGTAGCTCATGGCATGGAAAAAAATTGGCAGGCACCTGTCACTCCGACCTTCGTGCACAATTTTATATGCCTGACTGCCTGCCTGCCACGCACGTGTGAACTTCTTCGCACTCACACGTACGTATGTATGTCCCCCTGTCGTACGCCTCCCTCTGCCACTCCCTCCTCGGCCGATGCCCATGCATCTCGTCCCTCAGTCATGGAAAGTTTGAGAGCAGCCTGCAACAAAGGATTTCCTGGAAGGTGTGCTTACTGCCGTGAATGACCGTGAGAGCGCAAATCGCCCCACGCAGAGCATCTTGTTACTAGTGCGGCTATACATCTGCTGTAACCCCCGCCGCGCGAGGAGCTCGAGCTGCCAACAGGTGTGCCTTGCTTGGCGGGGGCGCATGCGTTCTGAAATGACAGATGACAAGGCGTCTGAAAATCAGTGCGGGCGTCGGCGGGGGTATGTGCATGTGCGGGCGCCCGCTCGTGCGTGTCTAGATCGCAGACCTGCGACAACGGCCAAAACGGTTTGAAAAAGGCTTGAAGCAGAGCAGTGCAGTGTGCTGAGTGGTGTGTGTATGTGACAGAGTGCGCCCCTGGCCCTACTCAAGGGGGCACAAGGGGCCCGCCTGTTGAGAGATGATGGTGGCAGCAAGAAACGCTGCAGGCGGTGCAACCATGTTATTGTGCAGCAGGCAGCAAAGGAGGGAGCGAAATCAAGCACTCATTATGAGCGCGCGCAATCCTGGTGGTATCATTTGGGTCGAGGGCCGCGCACCAGGCACGCTGCCAAGTGCGCCCACCCGGCGCATGCGGTTTGGGCGGCGCGAGTGGGAACGCCGCGTGGACGTCACAGGGGCGGGACGAAGCCTTGCAGCAAGTGTGCAAGTGCAACACAGTGTGCATGTGTTGACGGGCTGCGCAGGAAAGGTGCGCGCATCAGTTCACAATGCGCTCGCAAAACTATATGCAGACACTTGGATGTTCTTGAAGTGAAGCGAGGCGCGTGCCAGCTGTCAAAACAGAGCCCCCAGAAGAACAGGAAGCCCGCCCAGCTCGACCTATCAAACGCCCCCTTCCCAGCCAAAAAGTTAGCAAGGCGCGCCCGTGGTGCCGACCACCGCTCAGCAAAAGCCGGGCGCGCCGCCGCCCGCTGTGCGCGCTCGAGCGCGCGGAAGCCCGGCGGGTGCCCATCGCCTTGATAACCTCTGGAGTGAGGGGCGATGACTCCGAATTCGGCGACGACGGCGGTCCCCGCACCCACACAGCATCAGTGTTCCAGCAGGCGGCCCCGTCCCTGCCCTTCCACCTCCCTGCCCCTCCTCCCTGCCCCTCCTCCCACCCCCCACCCGATATAATGAACCCCGCTCAACGGCACCCGAGTGATAACGGGTCAAGCTTCCAGCAGCGATGTGTCGTGGGGTGCCTCCAATATTCCATCCCACCACACACGTGCCCAACACACTCCTCATCGCTCTCACACCTACATGCAGCGCGCGTGCGCCCGCGCCATCCTTACGCACGCCCCGGCCCCGGCCGCGGCGGCAGCCCGGACCCCGGCACCACCGGCAGGGGCGCGCCGGTGACGCCGAATTTTATGGACGAGACGAGCACGGCCCTGGGCAGGAAGGGCCAGCAGAGGGTGTTGAGGTGGCCTATGACTTCCTCGGGGGCCATGAAGGCCAGCGCCCAATTCATCAGGTTGCGCAGCCGAGACTCACGCATCTGGGCGGGCGGCGGGATGGGAACCAAAGCGCGGTCGGTCGGTCGCGAGGTCGGGTGACGTTTCGGAATTTTTCAGCGGGGTTTCTGGGGGTATGGGGGAGAGACTCCGGTTCGTGTTGGAGGGTTGGCGGGGGTTTGGGTGTGAAACTCGACTTCGTATTCCCGTGTGCCCATGAGGCACCGCCCTCCCAACAGGGCAGCCAGGCTTGTGCTGAGCCCGCCCGCCGCTCAGGACTACACACACACACACACACACCCACACGCACACGAATGCGAGAACACACACTTGCATACAAACACACACACATACAACCAAGCACGCGCATCAGCCCACCAGATTGTCGCTGAGCGCCGCCATCGCCTCCTCCGCCGCGTCCGCCCCCTCCTCCGCCGCCATCGACGTGGCCGCCAGCCCTGCTGGCACTTGGACCTGTGGGTGTGGGACGGCAGGGTTCAGGGTTCAGGATTCAGGGTTTAGGGTTTAGGCGCGCGCGGGCGGGCGGGTCTCAAGGGACGGTCTGCGGGGCCGATGGCTTTGGACCTGCGCGTTGTGCAGGGGTGGCGGGGCGGGCGCGCCCGGCGGGACCAGGGTGCGGAGCTGGGGCGGGCGCGCCGCCGGGGGCACGGTAGCAGGGGCGCGTGCGCGGGCGCAGGCGCGGGCGTGGGCGTGGGTCGGGGGCGCGGGCGCGGGCGCGGGTCGGGGGCGCGCCTGGCGGAGGGCGGCGTCGAGGCTGGCCTGCAATGAGAGGCGCTGCGCGGCGATGCGGCCCATCGCGGCCGCAAAAGTTTCCATTGCCGACTTTACGAGGGCGGCTTCCTCGGGCCTGGGGTGGGGGTGGCGTGGGACATTGATGATTGGCTGTGCAAAAGCGAGGATGTGTGTGCTTCTGCACACGTTCACAAATATGAGCACGTACTCTGGCATACTCTACACAGCGCATACAAGTGCGCAAGTGTATGTATGTATGTATGTGTGTGTGTGTGTGTGTGTGTGTGTGTGTGTGTTCACTTACCCTCATGCATGCATGCGAGAGAGTGTGCACGTGTGCGTGGGTACATGGGCGCGCGCGCGCGCGCGTGCGTGTGTGTGTGTGTGTGTGTGTGTGTGTGTGTGTGCGCGCGTGCGGGGATGCATGTGCTCACGTGCATAGGCGTTCATGCGCCCAGCCCTGCTTAGGCGGCATCACCACCCCAAACGCACCACGGCCCCCGGTTCGACTACAAAGCAGCCCCTCAACCACTGGCACTTGCCCGTCCCCCACACAATTGCACACATAACCAGCCAAACGGCCAGCACGCCCTCCCCCCCCTAAAAAGGCGCACCCGACGATCCAGGCGTCTGCAGCCCGCTCCCACCAGCCCTCTGGGATGCTCTCAACACGCTGACCAGTCTCCTGCGAGAGGAGTGCATTGTGTGTGCGGTGCTCTCATTTCGAGTGCCTGTATGCGCACGCTGTGTGTGTGCATGTGTGTGTGTGTGCGCGCGTGCGTGCGTGCGTGTGCGTGCGCGTGTGGGCGCGCACGCACAAGTGTGTGTGCATGTGCATGCGCCACCTTGAATCATCACCAACAGCAGCTGCAGCTGCAGTTGCGGACAGCCCCCGCTGGGCCCCTCGACATTCCTTCGGGGCCCCGAGGGGAGGGGGGGCTCATGGGGTGCTCCCACTCAGACCCCCAGCGCGCGGCGCACCATGTCTGTCATGCAGAGTGCCTCGTGCTCCTCGGGGCCCATCCTCATGTACAGCCTCAGCAGCTCACGGTTGGGGGGGTAGGGCGCCTCGCCCTCACGCAGGGGGCGGATCTTGTTTGAGGGGGGGGGGGG